CCTTTGTCTCGTAAGATATACTATGACCTTTAGAAAACAGTTCTTTTTTTGTCATCTTAAGTTATTCAGCGGAGGAATCAGATAAAACCAGTTCATCGAACCACGTGAGGGCGTTAGATCATTTTATGTATACAAATTAATTACTTCGAAACTTACATATTGTTTAAAAATTATTTTACGAACTTTTGGCAGAGGTACCTTCATCGGAAAGTTAGGTTAGGTTGCAATTTATTAGCTATAACAGTAAAAAATATTTATGGAGTCATTTATAATAAGTTTTCACAGTTTTTATACTAAAAATGACTCCCACAAACGTAGAACTTGTCGAGAAAGATTGGTTCTTTTTTCCAAAACAAAATTCGACGTTTCAGGGATTGGAATACTTACTGTTGACGAGAATTCGCGACAACGATGTTTCCACGAGACGAGAGCTTCAATTCCACTGGCGTCACGTCTGGCTTAATTAATTAAAGGCAGGTTCGAGCCTCGTTAAACACCACGTTGAGGCTTTTTCAGTACTTCCAAAATTCGATCGAAATCGATCAATAACTCCAGCTTTTTCTGTCTATCACCGTTTATTATTCACTTGTATTCTCTGGGGAATTATCTGTGCAGCCATTTTTATTTCAAGTGTTTATAAAATTTCTCTTGTCAAGTTAATTTCTATTTTTTAATTGTTGTAGAGTCTCTGACTTGTACCAAGTGTATACAAGTAGTTTTTTTATCTGTGTAACAAAGAACATGATCTGGAGGAAATTTGAGAGGGCCCAGAGATAACGCAGCTGCCATAGCTCCATGTTGACCAATTTTTAGTACATCAGAAGTATCTTGTTTCTTCTATCAAGCTCACAAATTTTTTATTGTTGAAACCCAGAGCTGTCTCTTACTTTTATATATAAAAAAGAAAGTACCTTTTTTAACTGTGTAAACAAAAATTTTAAGAAAATTCAAGAGGATCTATAGGGAACGCAGCAGCCATATTAGCTCCATGTTGACTAATTTTTAGTACATCAAAAATATCTTGCTTCTCCTATCAAGCTGACATATTTTTAATTGTTTAAACCTATAGCTATCTCTTACTTATACCTATAAAAAGAAAGTACCTTTTTTAACTGTGTAAAAAAAAATTTTAAATTCAAGGAGATCCAAAGAACCCAAAAGGGGTTTCATAATACCATCTTAAAATCACTTTCCATCGACCACAATTCAAAAAGTAGCTTTAGGGAATCGATAGTCCGGTTCCCATAGCTTTTTGTCCCGCTAGAATCGCCGTCTTCCGGTTTGTGGTCGAAAGAAACCGGAGCAAAAGGAAGCAGGAAAGATCTTTCGTAAGTCAACGATTAGCGCATAAATTATCTTTGTCGAATGACGGCTGGATTTTCCTAGCTAAATGGTACACAGCTTCAATTCGTGGAAACATTTTCGCTGAATCATGAATTCGTTAAAGCGATGAACATTTGGGTCAAACGGCTAACAATCGAATATCGGTTATCGTCGTTTGCGGTCATCATTCGTTTATTCTTCACTCATTACGATTACGTTCCATTTGCGGTCGTGGGATTGAATTTTGTAGAAAAAATTAATTGCTCTTCTCTAATAGACTTTTGAGTTTTATTACAGTGGTTGAGTTTGTCTAATTTTGTAGATTATAACATTTTAAGATTGTAGTGTTAGTGTGTGGTGTTTATAGGTTTATGTATTGGGCGGCTGTGGTCACGTGACTCTCTGCACTGGGGCGCGCAATTCAAAAATCACTTGGGGCCTCTTTCTTCACCACCCTTATTACGAGTTGTATTTTATATAATATAATACTGAATATTTTATGTATATTATGTACAGTTAAATTATATAAATTATATGCATGTTAAATTTAAAAAACATACAATTTTAAATATTCTAAAATTAAATTTTCATACTAGGAGCAAAATTTAAAAAATCTCCTGTAAATTCAGACAAAATTCTCTGCAATTACCAAAGATATTTTTTAAAGTTCTAACAACTCCCTGCAATATTCTTAAATTCCTAAATCCAATATGGTTTCAAGGAAATTTGCAGATGAATTTGAAATGAAAAAAAATAAGAGCGAGGGGATTAGTAGCGAAAGCAGAGAAGAAAAAATAAGGCACGTAGAGTTCTAGCGAGGCACAATTCCCGGCGTTAAAGTACGGCGATTGTGTCAAGGTTGTTTTTGCGAGGAGTTCGCGTTGCGTGGTGCGAGAGAGCCTCTCAAAATGGTTGCACGAACCTCTGTCCTGAAAAGGTTTCGAGACTGTTCAAAAGAAATACACCGTTCTAAAGAAACTACTCCGTTACGACACTCGACCAATTGTTTTTTCGACTTTTCGTTGGACAATCCCTGCAGAATTAAAACACGCGTTCCTGAAACAGTGAACGAAATTTTTCGAATATCATTCTTTTTTTTTTCTAGAAAAATTCATTAAATTTTTTTCGTTTAAATATCTGTGCTAATTTTCGTTCATGGATCATTAAAATAAGATTGCAACTTTTGACGTAAAAATTGAAAATATTCAACATATTTTTGACCTCGAAGTTTTTTATACATTCTTCGAAAATTTTTTCGAGCTTGTAGCGATGGATCCACGGAATTTTTAGTACACAAATTTCGCGTGTCTTTCGAAGGAAAAACTGTCGAAAAACTTTTCCGCAAATTCGCGGAAAAAATTCTAGTACACTAACGCAATTAGTGGAGATTACACTTACACAACCGCGTAACTTGTAGGGTATATCGAAGAATCTTAAATACAGCGTCAGAGAGTCTACAGCATATAGTTCTTACGTCGTTTTACCGCGAACCGGTGATTCAACGAAACACACGCGTCCAAGTGTCGCATTATATGAATGAAATACAAACTGTCCGTAACTAAGTTTAGCTGTTCAGCCAAACAGCTGATCTCTCGGTCGACCTTCGAAAGTACCTGCAATAAAAGCACGCGAGAGTGCATCTCGTTCTGTCTCTCTCGCACTCGCGTGATACCAGCCTTTGCTCCGTAGAACAGAGAACTTGTCCCGATGTCGATGACCCGAATAATAGGAACAAAGAGAGCACCGAGAAGAAAAAAGATGGAAACACTACCTGAACCGAGATGTTCGTTTCTGGTATACGTATAAAGCGATACCACTGGATTCTTCGCTTTTTTTTCACGATGGAAAATCCAGCTCTGAAGGTCACTCCCGCATTCGCACTTTTATTTTTCTTTTTTATTCGCAAAGGGACCAGTTTTGTTAATGAAACTTTAGCGACACGCTTGCAAAATTATTTGGGGGTTTAATCGTTGAAAGGTAGGGTGCAAGGTCGGATCTAGGGATATTTAGATCTAGAGATTGGAATCTGGATATATTTTAATTTTGGGGTGTTTAAATCTAGGGACGTTGACATCTAGAAATATTGGGATCTAGGGACATTTCAATTTAGGGACATTAACATTCTGAGATATTGCGATCTAGGGACATTCAAATTGAGGGAAATTCCAATTTAGGGAAATTTAGATCTAGGGACATTCCAACCTAGGGATTTCAATCTAGGGAAATTTCGATTTAGGGGAATTCCAATCTAGGAGAATTCCAATCTAGGGAAATTCCAATCTAGGGAAATTTCGATCTAGGGGAATTCCAATCTAGGGAAATTTCGATCTAGAGAAATTCCAATCTAGGAAAATTTCGATCTAGAGAAATTCCAGCCTAGGGAAATTTCTATCTAGGGGAATTCCGATCTAGGGAAATTCCAATCTAGGGAAATTTCGATCTAGGGGAATTCCAATCTAGGGGAATTCCAATCTAGGGAAATTTCGATCTAGGGGAATTCCAATCTAGAGAAATTCCAATCTAGGAAAATTTCGATCTAGAGAAATTCCAGCCTAGGGAAATTTCTATCTAGGGGAATTCCGATCTAGGGAAATTCCAATCTAGGGAAATTTCGATCTAGGGGAATTCCAATCTAGAGAAATTCCAATCTAGGAAAATTTCGATCTAGGGAATTCCAATCTAGGAAAATCCCAATCTAGGGATATTCCAATCTAGTGACGTTGTCATATAGGAATATTGAGGTCTAGGGATATTGAAATCTAGGGGCGTTATCATCTAGGCGTATAGTTATCTAAGAGTGTTCTAATCTAGAGAAATTGTAGTATGAAATATTAAGAGTTATATTGCATTCTAGTGATATTAGTATCCCTGGTTGCTGAAATCTAGGAACATTGAAAATACTGGAATCTAGAAATACCTATAGTCTAAACGTGTTTTTATCTGGAGATATAATCGACAGATAATGTAATCTAAACATGTGTGATCTAAAGATATATGAGATCTAGAAATTAAATAACATGTGTACATTGCAGTAATGTGTAGTTCGTTTTTACACCATTGAATTTGAAAATATTCTCCGAAGTTTTTACACCTTCGTGCAACTTCTTTCAAGGCGAGTTCTTGCACGACGTTATTATTTAAATGCATTCAAATTTATGGAAGCCAGCTAGCACGTGGTTATGCGGTTTTTACAGCGTGTATCGAGTCCCCGACGATTGCCGAATTAATAAAATAAAATGCTGTAAAGGTTGAGAGGATTTATCGTATTATAAATAAAAGAGTAATCAAAAAGTTTTTACAAAATGAATGTTAAATATCAAGCTTCGCGATTAGCGTTATAAGCTTAACTCTTATCTGACGTAAGAGCTTCGCGGGAAAATAGGTTTCAAGAAAATTCAGAAATTATCGAGGATCGATAGCGCGAAGTTTTATCAGTGTCTGAGAAATCTGATGCATAACAGCGTATCCAATTTGACTCGTGTTCCGTCCTCGTGTTATGGCATCCCACGTGCTTGTCAGTAGATGGAAACCCGCTTTTCGCAGCCACATTTTTAATCATCGTTTCTTCTCCTTTGCTTATATAATTACAGCCGGCGCGAGTAATTACAATCTTGCGCGTAACAGATCCTAGACGTCGATGATCGTGCTCACTTAACATTCGCTTTTTCTGCTTACAGGTATCAAAATGAGCTTCCAAAGAAGATTAAATCACGCGGCAAGGATGCGCATCTCAACCACGAGGAACTTGTGCAAACGATGAAATGGAAGCAAATAGTAAGTCTTTTTATATTAACCCTATATTAAATAATTTCCGTTTACTTTTATTGTAACGTTAATGCATCAGCTATAATCTGAAGTATATCAGATTAATTGCTCGAGTTGTTTGAATCTTGAAGACTACACTGCCTGATATTGTTCTGAAATTTTCAACGAACTTTAAGTAAATGATATAGTAATCGTTTTCTAACGACCAAAGTGGTCTTCACCTTAACCATAATTACGAATTCCTTTTAAACGTGCCGTACCTTCTGATTTACAGCGTGGGAAATTCTACCCCCAACTGTCGTATTTAGTCAAAGTGAACACACCACGTGCCGTGATGGCGGAAACGAAAAAGGCGTTCAAAAAACTTCCAAACCTTGAACAAGCGATCACAGCCCTGTCGAATCTAAAAGGAGTAGGAACCACGATGGCATCGGCTCTATTGGCAGCGGCATCGCCGGAAAATGCACCATTTATGGCCGACGAATGCCTAATGGCAATACCAGAAATCGAGGGCATCGATTACACCACCAAGGAGTACCTTAACTTTGTTCAACACATTCAAAACACCGTCGAGAGGTTGAACAAACAAAGTGAGTGTTCACTCTCGTTCGTTCAACGTCAGTATTTGTTTAATTCGAAATCGATTAATTTGTAATGTAACACCGTTACCACAACGCTTTGTGATCCACGTGTTTAGACATATTAGTTGCTCTTTTATAGCTGCTCAGGAAGAACGTATATGTACGTCTTTCATTATTATTCGAACGCGGATTTTAAATTTAAATTGCTGATGGACAGAGTATGTATACGTCCTTGATAATGTCATTACAAAGCTTAAAATCTTGTGCAACATTTCCATTACTTACATCATATGTATCAGAAAGGTGTACCCTCAGAATTGGATCACAAAGAGTTACCAATGAAAGGTATTTCTTAGAATGGTGGATTCTAAACGTGGTGTGGTTGATTGTTCCAGCGTCAAATGGCAAAACATGGAGTCCGCACAGGGTGGAGTTAGCGTTGTGGACCCACTACGTGGCGTCCGAGTTAAAACCAGAACTCCTCGACGGCATTCCAGGTTCAACAGAGAACGGTAATTCTCATCCGGCAGCGAGCAACGGCGAAGCGACGGAACCGTCGGACGACAGTAATCAGGAAGTGGCGGTGAACGGTAAGGAACTAGGCAGTATTGATCCAGCGGCCATCGACGAGAACAGCATGACCACGTCCTTCACCGAAGACTCGATGGATAAACCCGCTACACCGATTACAGTGGGCGTAGCCAGCGAAGACACGAACGATTCCCTCGCAACGAACGAGAACGACGACAGCAACAACACGCCACGACCAACGGACAGCGAGGACACCGAAGACTCGCAAGACGTCGTACAGGAGCCGCCTACGAAGAAGAGTAAGAAGTGACCCACCTCGAGCCAAGGAGCCACGAATACGAGCAACAACGTCACCAACCTAATGTCGGCCGCCAATTTAACGCTGATCGCGGCGAGGCGCTTCTAAAAAACCGCCAGGGTCACCGATCAGGGTCGCGGATAGTAGACTTTCTTCTTGTACCTCACCATCATCAGGCCCCGCCATCACGTTTCCCTTTTTTCCGGATCATGCTCCCTCTCCTTTCTATTCTCGATTCATTATTTATCCCAAATACTCGGTTACTTTCATACACTCGCTCCTTTCGTCATGGTCACGGCACCTCGCCTTTCTACGTCCTTGTCTCTGTGTGGAATAACGTAATTCGTAGTCGATGACGATGTGGAAGTCATTGTGTAAACACCTCGCTGGTTTTTCTATCGATTCGAGACAGAAACAAGAGGCGAAGCTCGACCGATGAACATTACTGTACAAAGCGTTTCTTCTTCTTCCTTTTCCCTTTCTTTGCTTTGGTTACAAGGTTTCTTGCGTTCTTGTTACTCACGTTTTACGATCGTAACTATTCTAGTTATGTCGAGTTTCATGTTTCGATGCTTGTCTGAAGCTTTCTCTCTTGTTCTGCCGTAGTTTCTCTTTTTATTGTAGGGGACACCGTAACCGCAGCTTTTCGTTCGTTGATCGAGACGATCTTGGTACTGCCTTATCAGTGACCCATTTCCGTTGGTTACGCGTTAGCGAAAAACAAACGTAGCCTTTATTTACCAGAGAAAGATCATTCCTTTTTATCCGCGATTTGTATACCGTGTTCAAGGGCCACTGAAACAAACACACACACACACACACATATACGCGCGATGTTAACGTGTAAAGCGATTTGTGTGTAAAATGAGAATGAGAGGGAGGGAGAGATAAAGAGAGAATGTATTATAAAAATTCGGGTATGAGAGAGAGATCGAGTAACTGATCCTGTGACCAGCAAGAAAACAAAAAATATCGGCGGTACACCGAAACACAATGATAATATTAATATTAATAATAATAATAATTATTATTATAATTATAATACCGAATCATTACCATAATTTATATACCTAAAAGAAAAAAACTGCATGTCAGAGTGATGCATGGAGCAAAACCAAATACCTTGTAAGTAAAAAAAAAAGAAAAAAAAAATGAAAAAAAATCTTTAGAAACAAATAAAAGTAACGCTTTTTTGAGTCCATCATGAAAAACGTGAAAATGAGTGGCGGCAGACACCCGAAACACACGACACACACTCTCTCACACTTTACACACACACAAGTATACACGTCACGTCGAGGTTCTCATGTACAGGGATTTAACTAGTATTTTTGCATTATTGATGATTAATTAATCATTATCGAGGATGAGGCGCGAACGAAGAAGACGAACCACGATTAATGATCGCAAATGAACGATGAACAATTAAAAAATGAAGAAATGGAAAATATATAAAAAGAAGAAAGACAAGACTACACGAGATAGAAGTATAACGATGACGTTGAAACATGATAGAGAGAGTGAGAGGAAGAGAATGAGTGCGTAAGGAGAGCGTGAAAGAGAGCATGTAAGGTTGCCAGAGAGTTACAGAAGAAGAATAAACCACTATAGCTTGATCAACAACGTTCATTCAAATTTTATAAATATACATATTATATATATATTTGTAATTTAGAACACTGTGGCCAGGCTGCGCTATAGTATTGACCTTATTATTAATTCACACATAACCATACACGATATATGGTATGACAGTCGTACTTGTTTGGCTGCACGAAACCAGAAAAGAAATTTTCAATTTCTGGTACATCGATTTTTAGTCTTTGCCAGGGGAGCAAACCCTCACCACGTCCCGACCCGTGAACCAGGAAAAAATACGACTAATAGGGTGTTTGTATGGTATCGAGCCACAGAGTTCACGAACTCGATAATTAATTCGTGTACTCTCTTGAGAACGCAACGACAGGAGGTTCTCGAAGATTTTAATGAGATTTGGCTGGATATTTGATTATTGGAACTTTAATTGTTACAAACTTTAAATTCGAATTCGAATTATTCGAATACCCAAGTTTCAAAGTACCTAAATTCGAATACTCAAATTTGAAATTCAAAGTATCGTTTCGATATTCAAATATCTTATTCCAGCTACTTCTGCCGGACTTCATTAAAGTCGCGAGAGACCAATGGAGACCTGGTCGGAATAGTTTCGCAGCGAGTATGGATGAACCTTAATAAAATCGTAGTGAATCCCGTTCTATTTATTTAGCGCCTAATTTATTCCGTATCGATCGTTTCGTTGGCAAGGAACAATATATAAATAATTGAAGTAATAGATATATTACCAACGTGGATCGAAGTGAACAGTTTCAGAGAGGAGTGTTCGAGGAATTTTTTTTTATTCAGCGGATAATGTTAATTGCTGAAAATTTGATATACATATGCGTGAATTTACTACGCGATTATAGTGATTACGGTTGATGACGACAATGAGATTGACAGCGAACGAGGGTGATTACGATTATTATATTACGTTACTGCTGCTATTAATTACTATTACGAATCGACGGCGAGCATAGTTTTTATTGTCTTTATAAACGTATAACGGATTAATGTAGCGTTGTTTTTTTTCTGTTCTTTTCTTTTCTATTCTCTTTTCTTTCTAATCACCTGATAAATTATTCTCGCAATTACAACACATTCCACCAATGACTTGTTCTGTTCAATGCCATTTTCTTTTGCGTTTTTCTTTTGAGAAGCAAAATTTGTCGACAGGGGAATCCCCCAATAAAATTACAGATTTTTCAAAAATATCGTACACAATTCGTTTGAGTGGTGCATTTTTTTTTAAAAGAAATGTTCACTCAAGTTATACTTATCGTTATTTCTATTTTTTACAAAAGAGCGTGATTTAACCGGAAAATAATTTGCGAAACAACGAAGTGCAACGGTAAAAACAAAATGGCGGACCACTCAAACGAGTTAGACTACGTAGACTTAATTCGATTCAACAATTTTCCTTAGCGCTAATCGTGGCCTTTTTTCCTCCGTATTCCCGGAACAGGTGATCAAATTTTTAGAGATCTGCCCTAGGATAAGTCCACGAGAGCTTGGAGATTCTCGACCGGAGGTGAACTGTTTAAAACTGCCATAACTATAAGCAATCGTGTTAAAAAATTCTCTTGTTTTCACAAGAAAATCGGTGAAGTCACACGTTTGCCTTGCCTTCGAACACTGGGCGTCGATCTAGCCCGATGTTCGTGATCTTCGTTTTCTTTTTTACTTCCCAATATTTTGGCCCTTCTATACCCACAATCCTCGACGGCCAATTCTCTCCACTTTGTATAGAACGCTTTCTGCGATCGATTCGTTTTCTTTCGATAGTAACGTGTAATTCTTGGATTAATTGTAAAGTAAGGCGATGTCATTACGAAGTACGAGGTTAAATAAATTATTTGAAAACGTTACTGGATTCTGTCAAATACCAGACACATTTGTGTTTTCAAGTCATCGAAAATCACCCATAAGCTTGTTTTATATATTTTAATATTTGACATTCACTCGCACGAGGGAAAACAGGGACAAGGGATTTTTATAGAGGGGATAAAGTTAATGTTTTTTCCTTCTCCTCAATCCAGCTGGAAAGTGGAAATGATTGATCCTCCTTTGTATCCGGCTTTTGTTCACTTTTTACCTTCATTAAGGTTCGCTGGGCTCATTAATCGCCACTTCATGTATTCCATGCAAAAAAGTACTTTTAGATCGGTTTACTGCGTACTATTTTTATTTTTTATAAAAACAACGTTCATCTATTATGAAACACGGTGAAAATTACTTGAGATATTTTTGCTAAAATTCGAAACTTACTTCGCGCTCAAGAGGTGACATTTTATTTCATAATTCGAGATAAATATTTTTTAAGTTTCTATAATATGACTCTTGTGACGTATAAAAATAGTGAAACAAATAGTGGAAAATATTAGCAGAGACCTCAAATATAATCTCAAAACAATTCATTTAACTTAATTATTAAGTTTTAAAGTTGCCGTTTGCAAATTCGAGAGCAAAGGGTAAATTCTCACCAGCACGATTCCCTAATTGACGGGAAGTTGACAATGCACTGATCGAATTCGGACATCATAAATGCTGGATGCTATTGAATCATGCATCATGGTTTAATAGCTCCCCGGTGACAATATTTGCAATATCGATTTCGAGGATGATTGGATGATGCTTATGACGTCGATGAACCTCAAAATCATTGCACATCGAATCTCCACAAAATCAACTTAAATTATTGATCGACGTATTTAAGTTTTCCAAAGTATCCACCTATTTTCAACGAAGGAAATTCAACTTGTTAAACGCTGAGAACCGAGCGAATTCACAAAGTGAAAGTACTCGATCTTCAACTTTCTCCTCGTACTTGTTCAGCTGCCATACATCACCTTGCACCGTTTAATTGGAAACTTGAAGACACGAACTACGGTGAGAAAAATGATGACATTGTTACATGATCGTTTTTTCGCGTGTGCACTTGATTCTTATTCTCGTCCCGTATCTATATACGTTATTATTTTCGTCGTGGTCTTCTGCTGCTAAAATTAAGGATTGGAGCAACCTTGCATGACTCGTTGCCAGGAAACGTTTTAAGAAGTTCCTCGGGAGAAGATGAATCTACCGGCGCAAATTTGCACGCGATATCGCGTGGTACTTCAAGATGGAGCATTTTATTTGATCTTGGTACTCGAAGAGATCAAACGGAGATGGAGATCAAACAGTATCTTTTACAGAGACAGACTTTTTTACTACTCTTTCGCTCATCCATCTGTACAATTATATTATTATTCTTTCATAACTATTACCATACTAAATTGGTACCAGTTACTATGAGTTAATATTTGATACATTGACAATCAAGCAGACCAAGCTCATTTGTTTCAGTTCAAAAAGTGCATGTGACAAGTAGATTATATGGTTGCTGACAAGTAGAGAACGTCTTCAGAGAGGTAGAGAGAACCAAGATGTGACATGGAATTTTCGCGGCAGACTTTTTTCAAGTACAGTGAAAATCTCCGCATGCAACAGTTAAAGTGCGAATCTGCGTTGACCATCGATCGATCCCAAATCCATTTACATCGGCGTTAACCCAAAGGAAAGTAGCTTGGGGTCATCAGGGTCGTTCCAGTGACCCAGTAAGCTCTGGCACGACCTTCGAGTCGATGTGTTCACCCATTTAAACCATCCTCCCTCACTTTCACTCTCTTGGATCACGAGAAAACAGCAGCGCGCGTATCCACTTACACACGGGATCTCTGCGATGTACGAAGGGCACCCCGGAGTAGCGGGGGAATTCCGAACGGCGTGTGAGGTCACCGGGACAGAGACGCGGAAGACGAAGAGAGACAGGGAGAAATGGTACACGGTGAAACGTGGCTAGAAGGAGAGGTGACGAAGAGAGCGAGACGGAAAGAAGGTTGTCTATGCCGAAGAGAGAAGGCGGATGGAGAGTAGAACAGGATGCAACAAAGCACCGACAGGTCGTGTGATACCCTGTTACGTCACAGACGGAACAACTGGTTGCCTCATGGGGAGTTCGAGGAGCACTCTCTGGGTGCAAGAGGCAAGGGAGAGGAGAGACGATACCGGATAGGGGTATTCCCGGGTCCGCGGGGCCACGGGAGGGACATCCCACGGGCATCAGGAGGGAGGATGATATATACAAAACACAAGGTCACGAGTACCGGCTATAGGTATCTCTCTGTAAACACGCGGTGACGTAGCAAGCACGTGCTACCACGACGTTTACCAATGGCGGGGGCGATTTGAGGGACACCCTCCACCCTATGACACCCGCTCCAACTTTCTTCCATCCTACTTTCAATTTCCCCTACCCCTTGCAACGCATTCTCTCCTCTCTGGCCCTTCTCTCTCTCTCTCTCTTCCTTCTTCTATCTTACGCTGGTACTTTTGATAGACTTGGGAACTGGGTCCCGGAAGGAGAAAGTATGTACTTTCAGACAGAGGATCTGGTTTACCCAAACACTGCTTCTGTGGCTGGTTCGATGAACTCCTTCCTCAAGCAGGTTTTTTGTAGCACTTTGTTCAATTTTATTCTGGGTCTTCTTAGTGCTGGCTGATCTTCTGTTTAGTGCTGGTTGTCTTGTTGTTGTTGAGCTTGTTAGGATTGCTTTGATCATTGGCTAATATAGTCTGAAGTACAAGGATTTAACACCCATTAGGTGTTGAAGACCTTCAAGCTTTCTGCTAGGTATAGCAACTTTTTGGAATTGGCTAATATAGTTTGCAGTGTTGCAAAGATTTAACATCCATTAGGTGTTGAGGACCATCAAGCTTCCTGTTAGATATAGCAACTGTTTGGAATTGGCTAATATAGTTTGAAGTGTTTTGCAAAGAGTTAACATCCATTAGGTGTTGAGGACCTTCAAGCTTCCTGTTAGATATAGCAACTGTTTGGAATTGGCTAATATAGTTTGAAGTGTTGCAAAGAGTTAACATCCATTAGGTGTTGAGGACCTTCAAACTTCCTGTTAGGTATAGCAGCTTTTTGGAATTGGCTAATATAGTCTGAAGTGTTACAAAGATTTAACACCCATTAGCTGTTGAGGACCTTCAAGCTTTCTGCTAGGTATAGCAACTTTTACAGTCTTCTCTATCTTGAGAGTCCTGAATGAACCTTGTTCATCTGCAATAGAAGATTGATGCATTTATCAGTAGTTTCATTTCAGTTCATTCTACTTGTGTTCTAATATTAGTTCATATCTTTTGATCAAATAAAGTGTACTCCTACCACTATTATAATCTAAGATCACTATGGATCTAACTGATGTAACTGACACATTGTAACTGACTATTATTTTATACAAAGATGAAGCTGTCATTCTGTAACATTCTTGTGTCACATATTTCATGTACAATGTCACATTGTGTGCTAGTGTATGATTCTTTCTAGTGTGTACACTATGATAATCTAAGATCACTATAGTTCTAACTGATCACATTTTAGTTTACTTGTTGTAACCGACAATTATTTTATACAAAGATGAAGCTTTCATTTTGTAACATTCTTGTGTAACATATTTCACATACAATGTCACATTGTATGCTAGTGTACTCACACTCAGTTTGTTGTAAGTCACTGTCTATTAACAAGCTCAAGCTTTAATATTCCAAAAGTGTCAATCTGCGTTAATGTACCAAAGAAGCTAACAATAACATTCGTTAAAGATCCTTGAAATCTTGACGTAAACTGAAAGAGATTTCGCCGGGTGAATTTTTCAGTCCCTAACGTATTCCATTGAGGCAAGAGGAAAGCGTTGCAGGACTCGCTTTCCCGCTGTGCTCCCCGAGGGTTAGGGCTCCCCCTTTGTCGCCCCCTTTCAATGCTCTCTGCCCGCTCGCCTGGCACGCCAGCTGCCTCTCCGTCTCTGTCTCTCTGCGAGACACGTTTTTCAAAGTTCCCTCTGCGCTAACGATCACCGGGTCTCTTCCTCTCCCTAATGCGAAACGCGGCGAGGGTCGAAAATCCCGCTGGGAGATTATTTTTCCCTCGTAGCATCCTCCCTGCCTCCCTGGCCCGTCTTCTCTGACCTGGCCTTACCAAGGAATATTACGGCCAGAATATACGTTTCCTGGACGAGGAAAATACTTCTTCTATTCTCGTGGTTCGAAGAGGATTATTGTCGATGCCATATTTTCCCCTTTTTTTGCCTCGGTATACCGGTTAACCCTTTGTCTGACGTTGTATTAAATGGAATCTGCAAATGAAAGAAGAATGAATTAGCGAGATAGGTTGCACAAAGTAATCTTCAGACTTTTGATTATACTTGATGGATTAATTGTGGCGATTATCTTGGCAATCCTTTTTTATCCGCAGTACCGGTTATTACGTTTTTTCTTTGATGTTTGTGTCGTAATGAGAAGCAAAGTTACAAACTCGGAATAGTTGGAACCGGTCCATTTTATCGGTAAAATCACGTGCTGTGTTTACCTCGATATCGATCAGTCGCTGACAATTGCAGGGTTTACGAGGCTTAGGGGAACTGCGTCCCCGAACTAATATCCAACTGTCTCTATGTTCTCGGACGTGCAATTAATTCCGTAAGACCAAAAACTATATTAATGTGAGCATTTCAAAAATAATATATTTTGAGAGAGAACTCCAGCAAAAAAACTTGATATGCGACAAGGCGTCGAGTCTGTCCGAGAAGTACAAAGACCAGGAAGTGGAATGGTGATGAATTATAAAGGGCTAGCAAACGGGGCACGTCGCTTCTCTAGCACAGATCGATATCCACTCTACAGACTTGACGATGTGTAGCGAGAATCGATAACGCCATGAATTATCAACTGTCTTCCGTTACATCCTAAGTCCTATTCCGTTTGCCAGCACTGCGCTCTTCTAAATCAGAAAAATTTCAAAATTAACACTGGTACAGAAATTTAAAAATAATTCTTAAAAAAGTAATATTTAAAGAATTAAACTTTTTACGTTTTGATTCAGTTTATTGAAGTCAATCGCTCGTTTCATCGAAGTTCATTATACTATTGTTTGATGTGCAGGGGTGATTGGCGCGGTGACATCGGTGATTGTTAGCAAGGTTGTCTGTGTTTCTCTTTTCATCGGTTCGTTCGGTGACCCTTTGTCAGGATCGATATTTGGGGTAGATAGGCGAGGTAAATTATAAACGGACTCTTCTTCGTGCCACCACCTGCACAGCTGTAGCCAACGATCAATAATTCTATCTAATTTACTTTTCAGCTACGTTCGTAACATGAATTTTTTAACAAAAACATTTAACGTGATACTTGAACAGCCTGGCAGTAATTTTTCCTGTGAAATCTGCTAATCATATCTTCGAAATAGCTCCTAGCTTTCACGAGTGTTTAAAAATAGTGTAGCCTTCAGAAATACACAAAGATAATACTCATAATTTGCAGATTCCCGATATCAAAGATCAAAGCAGCCTATAATTACTTGCAGTTAAAGCTCGTTGAACCGATAAGTCCAATTATTTCCATTCCATTATGCAACGTCTCTACGTCGCTCGCGGTTCAAACGCCTTTTCTAAAATAGTCTACCTGTTATCGATAAGAAATACGAATTACGCAAGACATAAACTTGTGCGATAACGAAAATTGTGACCGTTGGAGGGGGAATGGCGAGGACAGATTTATCCGTGGACCAAAGGGAGCATCGATACGTAGTAACTGGCCGAGACGAGGAACGAGCAAACCAAAGCAAGAGACGAACATCACGTGCACGTGTGCACTTCACGCGACACACATACGCCTGTACGTAGGTGTACACACGCGTGTGTGTATCGAATAAATGCGTGCCCGTGTATGTATATGTACTCCATTGACCGGGATATCGTCTGTCTCGGGATGAATGAACCATTACGTCACGCACTTGTACTCTCTGATCCCCTTCCGCCTCCCTCCTCCTTCCCTCTGTGTATGCTTCTCCTCACCCGTCGATTCTGTCTCCTTCTCTCTCTCTCTTTCTCTCTTTTCCCCGAGCTCTCCTCGTGCTCGCATTATATTATGTGCAGCATACCTTCCTCCTTCCTTTCATCGATTAGCGGCGGAATTCCAGCCCGTGGAGGGAGACGATAGAGCTACAGTTTCGATGGAGGTCAACGTATCGCGGTGGCTCAGACACCCGGCAGACGTGTCTGTCTGTCTGTGCTGTTGTAAAATACCGTGGGACGAAGGACGCGGGGATAGAGAGACGGTGAATCGCTTTCGTTTCGTACCACTGATACACTTTTGCGCCGCCTCTTGTATACGTATCTTGGAGCGCAGGTGCCATTCTTCTGCTCCTTTACCTCGCATCCCTTTTCATTGTTCTTCCTCATGACCTTACGAGTTTACAGAGACAGTAACGTACACCGTTAATCGATTGGATCTATAGGAATTGGAAAATTTGGTTCTGACTGTTTACGAAATTATTATTATTGTACGTCACGAGTATCGTGATACATTGTTCATCGATGGTTCAACAAATTGTTCCTGCTCTAATTGACTGTACCTTAGATTAACACGTTGACTGGCTGATGCTTGAACTTCAATAGGAATCACCCACATACTCTTTAATTTACCTAATTAGAAATATCTGTGTTAGGTACTTGAAGTTATGAACAATTCGTTAAAAATAGAAATACCTAATGACAGTTTCAATGGCTTCAGTCAACGTGTTAAATGTTTCAAGCTATTAGCCTTCTATGATAGTTTCACGAGGTTCACGACCAGTTTCTTTCAAGTTGGGATATAACTTTGCTTTAGGACCGTCGCTATTAATTCTTCCATGAAACTCTGGTTTCTTCTCCTTGGGCGTACTGCGTTGTAACCAGATATCCAATAAACTTTTAGGAGCGTAAAGCCCTCCTTTATGGAGTTGTTTCCCAAGGGACATTGATGTACTCGGCGGTGGAGACATCGGTGAATCGGTCGTTGCTCTTATTACGCTGGCTCTGGCAGTTCCATCTTCTTTGCCAAATCTATCTCGTTAAAACAAGCAGAAGATTAATACTTTATCTTGATGGAAACTGTTTGTGAAGTGATGTGATTTACCCGTCCAACTCGCGCAGTGCTTGGTCCAATTCGACTTTGTCCTTGTCGTCCTTACTTCGTACTTCGAGAAGACAAGTTAGAACTTCAGAATGCGCCGCAGAATTATTAGCGTGATGTTTGAGGAATGTTTCTAGTTCCCCCCATAAAAGTCTGTAATGTTCTTCTCTGCGTACACCACTTTTGCCGCCGCGACCACCGCCTATACTTGGGAGGGGCAATGCTTCATGTTTTGCTTCTAACTGCAGCAAACTGAAGATCACTTGTTTGCATTGTACAACCTCCTCTGCGGTGAGTTCCTCCTTTACCATCAAATCTGGCAGTGGATCTATCAACTTCGGTGTAACATTCGTTAATTAGTTGTTTGATTAAGTATAATTGCATGTTATAATATACCTGTTTTAAATTGAACATAAGAGTACTGGAAATGGTAATTGGCCAATATTTTGTATGCCTCTCTAATCTGGACCTCATCTTTTCTGCTGGGCCGTCGTTGTTGCAGTTTGTACTTCGTTTTAAAGGCACCAATACATTATTGCGCATAAGTCTTCCAAAATCCTGCAAATAAAATACTGAAAATCGCGAACAATTTTTTTAGACGATTAACAATAGAGTATTTTATATTTACAGTTATTCTGTAATCCGTTACGCGTCCACCACATCCTTCGCTGATGGAAGGTGGGTCCTCCAATACGCTCCTAGCAGTGGATAACGTGTGTATAAAAATTTCTCCACCGTGTGCCGCTAACAAATGAGATATAGTTTTCCCCCCACTCTTTCTGGCCATTTCTAACATTACTGATCTTCCATTCAACAAGAAGTTGATTAGACAAGAGGAGGGTCTACTGTTTACGTCTACTGGTGTGATTCTGTGCATAGCAGTGCAGTTCTGCATTTCAGCTGCACTGCATCCTCGTGGTGTACACCATTTTAAAGTTATTGTCTCGTATTCCGAACCCTCTTCAAACCTTCTGAACGTCTTAATTAATGCTGAATCTTGTGGGTTTCCTAAAAAGAAAATAATCACATAGTGATGTCAGGTGTATGCATTTATAAACTAGTAATTTGTAATAAATAAAATACCTTTTAAAATTGCGGAATGTGCAGCTGATGAATGAAATATCTCGACGTCATAATTGGCAGAAGAACTAGCATTTTGTTCTTCCTTCATTGGTATACCAGTCACTGTCGTACTTGCCAAATCATAATGAGATAAAATTAAGTGGGATAACTTAGAGTGTAAAGCAGGTGCCTTAATAGAATGCACCTCTACCATTAATAATGGTGATACCTAAAACAAAATTTTATACAGTATTATTTCTTTCAAAATAATAATTTAGTATTATTAAGAAATAAACAAACCTCTCTTGGTCCTTGACTAGTAACTTGTGACTCAATATTGTTAGGAAAAATATTCAATATAACTAAGTGGCAATAATCTACAGGTATTAAACTGAAACATAAAACATGAATATGTTAAAAAGATAGCAGGTATAGTACTGTATAATATTAATATTATACTGACTGATCTGAAGCTAATGCTGTTTTATTTTCTTGAGCTAATTCATTCAAAAATATATTTTCCAAATTTTTCATATTGCTATTATCGCGAGCACTAGTAATACATATTACTCTTCCTCTATTAACAAGTTTACTAGCATTATCATTTAATGATGTCCTTTTCTCATGCTGAATTTCTGAACACTCATTGAGTGTTTCAATAGCTACCCTTAAGCCATGTATCACCGAATAATCTTCTCCAGGTTGTGGAGTTTTTGTAGGTACTCCTAAAATGGCTGTACCATTCATTATCTGTAACAGATTAAATTAAATAGACTAGTTGTTAACATAAAAGTATTAAAAAGTAGAACTTACATGATTTAAGTTTTGCTGTGATGGACTCCATGAGTTTAATACGTATGCGGCACGATCAGTTACAACAAACCTTATCTATAATTCATTAATACAAAAATTAGACGTGTTTAATTTAAATAGTGGATTAAATTGATTAATATAGTGTACCAATTTCCCAGTTGGAAAGAGATCCCACACTATACGGCAGTATTCCAAGGAAGCCTCTACACTGGTTGTCCACAAAGATTTACAAACAGGTGCCAAAGGTATCAAGTTCTGGCCGCGGCTTTTCAGAAAATCAAATTCTAGAGGAGCCTCAGTAGATATACCAAAATATGGCGTATGGTCCAAAACGAAAATAGTCTTATGGTTTGCAGGATACATTATTTTAAACCATTGTTTTTTAAAAGGCCACTTTTTCACGTATAATGCGTTATAACTTGTCAATTGTATATACGCGAAAAAGGCATACGATACTTCGTTGGATCAGATGTTATAGGTTAGGTTGCAATACTTTTGAGACATAAATATTACGGTTTCACCATTGAGAAAATATCGTGTAACATGGTGAAATGATCATGAAACTGTAATGTAATATTTACATTTCTTTTATCTATCACTTTATTTTGACAAGCGTTTTGGAAATATAAATGTTTAAACAATAAATTACATGAAACAGAAAAATATTTCATGTTTTTTAAGAAAATATGTAGATTTGTAAAATTAAATAATATATTTGTAAAGGTTATGATTAATAGCTTGCTAAATTTGATTTATAAAACTATTCATTTCGTGTCTGAGTAACATTTAAAATTCCCCGGTAAAATTCAGTACACTTCCGTTCCTAGATGTTCCTTCAATCGAAGTGTAAAATATATGTTTTCATAAATTAAATTGCACCTTTTTCAGGTCATGCATTTTCAAATTTACAATTTTATTTGTATATTTTACGAAGTATTAAAACTTTGTGTTATAAAATAAATATTATCCCCTTCCCCTTCTTTTTATAGCACAGATGTGAAACGTGGTACTTCCTTTCCGACTGGAAATCTCCTAGTGGCGTTGATAACGTAAGTTCGTCTAATATTTTTCGTAATTTATAATGTTTATTTAAACATATGTTAAATATTAATGTAACCCAAAGAACCAAGTGTTCCTGAGTAATAAATTCCATATAAAGTTTTATCAAAATATTTAGTAAATGAAACAAGTTTTGTACAATATTTGGATGTCCACTACACGTGGTGTTATTTTAATTAGCGTTTGATTTCAATAAAATTAACTGGTTATTCTCATTTTTTAGTATATAAAAATATTCTTATAGTTCATATTTCATTGTAATTTTTTTAATTATTTAATATATAAGAGGTTTCATATTAATTTGAGGTTATAAAGTGAGGTTATGTAGCATGCTTTTAGTAAACCAAAAAGACCGCAAAGTAGAACTAACTGTTATTTATTAATATTTTTCTTCAGGTTAATCGTAATTCAACCATAACGTTAAAATGTCAGGAGGTTTAGATGTATTAGCCCTCAAAGAGGATGATGTTACCAAAATGTTGGCTGCATTTACCCACTTGGGTGCAGAAAACGTGAACTTCCAAATGGAACAATATGTCTATAAAAAGAAAAATGATGGTATGCATTCTTATTTTAATTTGTTCTGTAAGATTTAGAAACTATAAGTAATAATTATCGATTACAGGTGTCAGCATCATAAATTTACGTCACACATGGGAAAAGTTACTCTTAGCAGCACGTGCTATTGTAGCTATTGAACATCCAAGTGAAGTTTTTGTCATCAGTTGTCGTCAAACTGGCCAGAGAGCTGTTTTGAAATTCGCACAGCACACTGGAGCTACACCTATTGCTGGACGTTTCACGCCTGGTGCTTTCACCAATCAGATCCAGGTTGATTTTGTTTCTATAAAAATATGGATTTTGTAACATTATTATTCATATATATGATGAGAATTTCTTGTGTCATAATCTACATATGTTGATTTATTTTGGCTTAATCTTTTCTGATTTAATTTTCAAAATTAAATAATCGTTTATAAATTGTATAATTGCCATGTACTAATTGTGCTAATCGTTTTTCAGTCTGCCTTCCGTGAACCCCGTCTTCTGATCGTAACTGACCCATCCACCGACCATCAGCCAATCACTGAGGCCAGTTATGTGAACATTCCAGTAATTGCATTCTGTAATACTGATTCACCTCTCCGTTTCGTCGACATCGCTATTCCCTGCAATACAAAAAGTCTTCATTGCGTGGGTCTTATGTGGTGGTTGTTGGCGAGAGAAGTGCTCAGACTGAGGGGTTCTATCGCTCGCGAAAGCAAATGGGACGTTGTCGTTGATTTGTTCTTCTACAGAGATCCAGAAGAGGTCAGTTCTTGTTATAATATGAAGAATTTACATTCACTCATCTTCCTTCGTATTTATATTTTATAAATGATGAGAAACTAGTAGCAGAGATATGCGTGTTGATTTATTTAAATATGGCTTAATCTTTTCTGAATGTATTTATACTATTTATTTTATATCCATAGAAGCTGTTCAAATATAATAATATTATGTAATATGTTTATAGGCCGAGAAGGAAGAACAGGCCGCTAAAGAGATTGCACCAGCTAAAGATTTCACAGGACCAGTTGAAGTTGCAGCTACTGCAGAACCCGGTTGGGTCAACGAAGTCGACGCAGGTGCAGTCACTACTGAAAACTGGGCCGACGATGTTGCAACACCAACCGCCGCAGCTACTGCTATTCCTGCTGCGACTGCTGCACCAGCATTCCAAACTGGTGGAGACTGGGCTGCACAGGTATAAATAATTAGTTAAAAAACAAGGTTTCTAATGTTCAAGTTCACTTGAAATTTATCTGTGTATTTCGTTCTTTTTCCAGACTTCAGAAGAGTGGTCTACAAGCACACAACCTACTACTGGTCAAAGTTGGGGAGGTGCTACCACAGAAAAGTGGTAATTTTATCCTCTTTGACTGTTTCATACACTGACATATTTTGTACAGTGAACAAAATAAAACGACTAAAAATCGGAATTATTGTTTTCTTGATCTGAACATAATTGTAGTACCTTGTTTTTCCATCTACTTTGTATACGTGCCACCTCCTTGTATATTCTACTATCCTGGTAACAGGATTAGATTTTGGTCCCGGTCATTTCCACCACCAATTTCATCAATCTATTGCGCAGATAGTTCTGCGCAAAATGCGTTGTGCCACAACTAACCTAACCCAGCCTAATGTAATCTAACCCAACCTATACATTCAAAGTTTATAGTGCAATTATAAGAATTTTTGAAAAATTATGTGGGATCATTAAGGTGCCCTCATTAGTCACCACTGCGTGTTCCGGCTAGGTACGGCATTGGCAGCAAGCTGTGATGTCAGCTGACGCATGCGCATAAAGCTCTCGCGTGAGATAAAATCTCATGACTGCCCAACACTGCTCCTAGCACATTCTACTAACCGGGTATCAGGAGCAGATTTTGAACCCCATCTGTGGTCCCACTATGCTACACAATGAACCCTCTTCTACGCAAACTATGGGTGTGCCACCTCTTTGCAAATTCTGTTATCCTTCTACGCAAACTATGGGTGTGCCACCTCTTTGCATATTCTGTTATCCTAATACTTCTGAAGTCCTGATAGTAGGAGTGCAAAAGATGACACAGATAGTATTTTAAGTACCTTCACAATCCCATGTTATCCTATACAAAACTTCGGAATACCGTCATGTTCCGATTGTGGTCAAATTTTGCAAATAACTCT